GTTTCAGTTGTGCAAATCGATCAGAACCAACCCTGTGATGTCAGACACAGAGACATTCCAAGATGGTGGCGCCCTAGGTCTAAAATCTACAGTAAAACACACCGTTTTCTTGTAAATGGTTACATTAATCGAGTTTGTTTAAAGTATTTTCATTAAAGTGGAATCCATTGTACAAAATAAGGTAAACTAGACTGGGTGCTTCATTTCCCCTTTAAATAAGAATAAAAAAAAAAATCACAAGATCCAAGCATTGTTACGTTGAATAAAAAATAATTACTAGCTTGCCCGACGAGTAACAATGCTTATTGTAGGAGCAGATTTTTACTTGCATTTGCACATGCCGAGTGATCATATTAGGCCCTCATGACCACATTTGACAGGGTTGTTAAAATGTGAATTGTTTCATATGTGATTTGGGGAGTTTTAGAGTATTTTGAAATGAAAGTTGATATTGTGAAAATGACCAACCATAAAGTATCTTTTTTTTTTTTTTTTTGCATGTTTCTGTTATTAATAATAACTTTTAATACTGTCACAAAACCTCAACACAACTAAGCAAATCAGTGCAAAAATTACAGCTTTAATTAGACAAAACTCAGCCTTAAACAATCCTAAAAATGACTGACAGTAAACTGCAGAAATTTCACTAATAGTTAAAATAATGAGACCAACAAAATGCGTTAAAATTAAATCCCATGTTTTTTTAGCTTAAAAACGCATTAAATAGTCAAATATGTTCATACTAGCTAATAAACATCTTATCAGTAAGGAATAAAATCAACATATACACAGCATTTGCTTAGCCTCAAGTTGTAGTTAACCCTTTATATTTTGTTCTGTTAAATTTAAAGTACAAAAGGAGTGAAGTGAGAGTAGGTGATAACAGATTTAGCTTTTTTGTGTAAACTATCCCTTTAAATTGCACACCTGCATCAATACAGATCAAGCATCAAGAAAACTGGCCCTGTAAAAATGTACCATTTTAAGCTTTTCAGAGATAAAGTTCTGTGGAACAAAAACAAGGTAAAATCTTTATGAAGACAAGAGAAGAAACTGTTCTCCACACATTCCCTCAGCGGTTCATGTTACTAATAATACTGCATCAGAACTACTGATCGATCCGTGTGCGTTCTTAAAAATCACCTGCTGTCGTTTTACCCTTCAAATTATTTACCTTGACATTTCCAGCTGAGTGAAGAGCGTTAACCTGCGCTGCTCTTGATATCATTCTGTTTGCAGTAGAAGAATGCATTTTTTGTAGTGTCTGTTTCTAGCGCTGGAGTCGATGAAGGTCTTTCCACAGCTCTGGCAGATGTGAGGTCTTTCTCCTGTGTGGATCCTGACGTGTGTATTCAGGTGGCTTGACTGTCTGAAGTTTTTACCGCAGAAGTGGCAGTGGTAGGGTTTCTCTCCGGAGTGAATCCTCAAGTGAATTTTCAGCAGTCCCGGTGAGCTGAACGTCCTGCGACACACAATACATAGATACCTGTGCTCTCCTGCACCCTGCGCATTTACAGACAGTTCCTCTTCATGGTGAACATTCTCCAAACAAATATCAGCCAGGCTCGTCTTGGACTCTAAAGCAGAGGTAAAATTACACTTTGATGTTTATTATGTGTCTGGACAAGAAGCAAATCACCATATCTGACATTTTTTCGATACAAGGCATTCAAAATCCGTCTTTTTTTTACATAATTACATTTTTAGGTAATTTTTTATTTTAGGTGACATTATATTATATATAATGTTATATATTATAACCTTATACATATATACTGTAAAACAATTATGGGTTCCACACAATCAATTTGTGTTTGGATTACATGAAGGAGGTTAACTTATCAGTTTTAAAAAATGTAAGTGGATTGAACAAAACAATTAAGTCCACAAAAAACCCTCAAGAATTGTTGTTTCAGCTCATTTTAAATAAAAAGTTTGAACAAAAAAGAGCACATGTAATTTTTTGTGTGTACACTGACAAAATCTTGTTGCCTTTCTAAGTTTTATAAACAACAAATAATAACATGACTTCTAGTTCATTATTTGGTATAAGAAGTGGTTTAGATGAAAGGCAAATGCCTCTAGATTACACTTCAATATTAAAAAAAATATGATCATGTCTTGATTTTTTTAAATTATTAAATTACGACTGTAAGGTCCAACTTTGCTTAGACAAAAGTCTCATCACTTAACATAAACAATGTACAGTATAGAATATAAAGTCATGGTACAGTGAAAAGTGAAAAATTAATTAATATTGTGTATGACTCCCATGAGTTTGGATGACGGCATCCATACATCTTCAATGAGTAAAATAACTTATTAATAAAGTCATCTGGAATGGCAACGAAAGCGTTCTTGCAGGACTCCCAGAGTTCAACAAGATTTTTTGGAATGCCTCCTCCATCTTACCCCAGACATGCTCAATAATGTTCATGTCTGGTGATTAGGCTGGCCAATCCTGGAGCACCTTGACCTTCTTTGCTTTCAGAACTAAGTATGAAAAGGAGTGCTATCCAGCGGAAGAATTTGCCCATTAAGCAGCACAAATGTCTTGATACCTCAGGCTGTTGACGTTGCCAGCCACTCTGTAGATCATGTAACCCCAAACCAAGATTTTTCCTTCACTGAACTTCACTGATTTCTGTGAGAAATCCTTGCAGATTTCAATAGGTCTTCTGCATTTGTGATGATTGTGATGCAGTTCAACAGATGATTTATAGAAAAAAAAAAAATTTAGACACTTTTCCAAATGATTAGCTAGATGTCAAGTTATTATGTGTTGCATAATAACTTGTGTGTTGTTAAAAGTTATTCTACACAACATGATATTTCAGCAATTCAGGTTTAGCTGTTTTACAATACATTAGTCTGTTCCAAAGTCAAAACTAAATAATTCTAACCAAATTAAATCTGATTGTGGTACAAAAAATAGTACACCCAATGTAATGTTTTATATAAACCAATAATACTATTTCTATATGTAAAAAATTGCGATTAACAGAAAAATCATGGTGGCCAAACAAAATATTATTAGATTTAGTTGAATTTTTTGTAGGTTGTAATCATGTTTGCAACATTCCACTTTAATTTAAATCTATTTATATTTTTTTCTTTAACATGTTAGGTGAATGCACTCGTACGTTACTAAATATAATTATTCTTAAAACCACTTTGTAAAGCAATATTTATTTTCCAAATTCACTGTAAATGGATAAAAATCCTACTCATTTATACTGCACACTGTTCATTTGTACTTACGTGATTCTTGTTGTTGTCTTTCTTTTTCAATTGGCACTTCTTCAGTTTGTCGAATTTTCTTAACTTTGTGCGTTTCATCATTTTCACACAATTTCTTCTTGTTTCGCTCTCTCTGTGATTGCAGTTTACTTGTGGGAAAAAGAAATTCAAGTTACGTTACTGAGGAATATTTAGAAAATTTTAGAAAATTACATGTTTATTTTGGTTGGGTGATTGTCACATACATATGTTCAAATAATGTAAACATTTAAACTAGAAACTTTTTTACTTATAATTACTAGTCTACTTCATCTCATTACAGAAGATTAAAAAGATTACATTATGGTAATGTTGGTCAAAAAAAAAGACAAAAGCACACACATTGCATTAAAGCCATTTTGTTTACTTCTTTATTTCAAAATAGCATAAAAATCCTAAATATTTGGTCCGGTTGTAAAATTACTTTTTAAGGACATAATTACATTGGAGACTTAGAATGAATATGTGATATTTTTGTGAAACACTACTTTTAATTAATTATTTTACATTTATGCATTTGGCAGATGTTTTTAACCACATTAAATACATAGAAAACTTCATCAAGTGCATTTCCTGGAATTTACACCAATGAGCATGACACTGCATGTACCATTTAAGCAACAGGAATACAAGAATATTCTGTCCATATTTCTCAGTGAACACTAAAAAACAGAGTAGTGTTGAGTAGAGGAGGTGGCCGGCACTGGCTCTGGGATGCCTTGATTATTGTCTTCCTTAATGTTGTCTAAAACAGTCTGAAATGCTTTCTTTCTCCTGTACACAGCAGCATTCTCCCTCCACTTTTTCTGTTGCCTTCTCAATTCTAATGGGTTCAAATCTTTAGCGAATTTCACTTTCCCCTGAGATTTTCGTCTTTGATATCTACAAAAATGAGAAATACCAGTAAGTCAAGTGTCAAGCTGATCCCGAGATGCTCAGCTAAATCTGATTTTTTAGTGCCGAATTTTGTCTGTATGAACAGTGCAATGTAGCAATCACCTATAATGCAATGGTTCTCAAAATGTAAAGGAAAGTGGTATGCTAAGAAAAAAATTCTCTTTCAGAAAAAAAAGCAAGAGATTTAATCAATAATAATAAAAAAGTTAATCTACCCTTGATTGACAAAATGTGAAGTTGTTATATAACAAAAACATATGCATTAAACTTAATTAAATTTAAAATAAAATGCTTTAATATAAACCTAAAATAACATTTGTTTAAAAGAGACAGAAAATTTACAGAATTATTTCACGACTAATTAAGTACACAACCATTTAAAGGTTTGGGGTTTATAGCAAGATGTTTTTTAATCATTTAAAATGTTCTATTAATTTGAATGTGATTCCTTATTTGTGTGTTGCTTGATCTTTTTGTAGAATTCATTTTTTTTTTTTTTTTGTTTAATGTTTTTCTTGATGATGCAGCTGAGTTTTCCAGTGTCATTTTAAACCATCTGAAAGTTTAGCCAAAAGAATTTAGATCACAGGTATGGGTATAGTAAAAACGATAAGAACAAACTAATTTATGTAATTTAGTATGCTTGGATCGCATTGATCTCTCAGATTGAAATTGCTTGTATTTATTACCATGTGTTTTACCAGGGATCAGCAACCTTTTAGGCATCAAGAGCCATTTTTTATTGTTCTTGGTTAGTCAATGTGCACCATTTGTGTATATTTGGCTCAGTGTCAGCAAAGGCATAATTAAACATAACAAATTACATTTAAAAAAAAGTATGACTTTATTGGAAAATTCAACATTTTATATCAAATTTGGAATTTGCCTGAAACTTGTAAACATCCGACAATACGGTAATCAAACAGATGTATTGTTTATTTGTGAAATGTCACTCATGAGCAGTTCACTCTTGAATTGAGAATGCACAGCGTCCAATGAAGTTTACAAGTCAATGAAATATATGTACTGGAACAGGAGTCTTGGGCCAGAAAACAAACTGCCAACTTGTTGCTTCTCCAGAAATGTTTATTCATACTCATGTATTCCCTGAAAACGCATATCTGCAAATCCTGAAATTACACAATAGATAATGCTTTACTATGTGCTATGATTTTAAAAATAGAGACACTCACTATAAATGCAAGTTGCCATTCTAGTGTTTTCTTAAGACAAAACTGCAAATTTAAAAGTGATCCCTAAACACCATGTAAAATGTCAAGATGCCAATGTTCTCAAAGGAAGACCCCAATATTTAAAGACAAGACTATTAAATAAAAAATATGCTCAAACCTAAAAAAAAAACAAAAAAAAAAAACAAGAACGGATTATTTTACCCACCTGCACTTCAATAGCCCTTAAATTACTTGCTTTATGTCCCTTGTTTTCATAAAACAAATTATTCATCAAGACATCAGTTGGGATTTCTGAAAAGCATTTCATTTTAGATCAGTTGTGGTCTTGGGAGAAAAGGGCTTGGTTTCAAAAAAGTTTGACTTTAAAATTGCATTGCAAACTTGCATTCAAAATAGGTGAAAATTGCATTTACATACTTGGTTTCAGTTTCAATGAGGAATTTAATCTGATGTAGTAAAATACACACAAATCTCAATCATTAAATAATAAAGCTCTTACCTGGATCAATAAATTTCATCCAGAGATTTGTTCTATAAAAGTAGTACATCTTCATCATGAATTATCCTGAAGAGTGCCCTCAATCACAAGGTGGTATGACTCAAGTATTTTAGCGCATGTTAAAGATACGTTGTTGCCAGGTAAAACACTGGTGTCTATCATCCAGCATTGGAAAACTTGTCTTATAAAACATTGTATAGAATTTCACCTCATTAACCACATAAAATGTATGCAGTTGTCCATCAAACATATCTTTTATTACATTTAGACTGCAAAAATAACATCTCAACTTTGTTAATAGTGATTCTACTTGACAGGAAAACACGCTGAACTGATGATATTTTGACCCTGAAGACACCATTAACACACTCCTTGCTGTGGTGAAATTCAAAGTAACATCTTAACAGACAAACCCCATGAAGGCTTAAAGTTGCTAAAGTCATTAAATGGCACCTTTGACTTTGTACCAGCCATCTGTGAATTCAACATGCTCTAACTTCAGACCTATCATTTATTTTAGGAGCTTCATAAACAGAACAAAAAGTTTCAAAGTGGTGAACAGCACTGGCATCTTAAACAAGGACAAATACCAAAGCTCATAGAGATATTTGCAAAAATATACATACATTTTGGGAAAATCATAATGAATTTTTTATACAATGGACAACTGGCTGCACTGCCTGTGGGCTATAAAAAGATGATTAGCAAAGTTTATTTGATCAGATAACTAGTCCACTATCATCTTTAATGTGCCACCCATTTTAACCTTTTAGTCTTTAGTTTACTATTGATGGTGACAGCTTTTACAAGAAAGCTTTATATTTGTCAAACAAATCTACTACCACTTTGAACCTTTTCTTCAATATTGATATACAGTAAAATCTGGCTCTGAAATAACACCATTTCGTATTCTTTTCCTACTGTTGCCATAGAACACATTTTAAACATTTCTCAACATGCTTGAGATTTATACAGTTCTCATCAATAGTAGCAGTGATAATTCAGTTCAGGCTCTCAGTAAAATTTCAGTAAAAAATTCATAGAGACACGGATATACATTTGTCCACCATTGAAGAAAAATACATTTAGGTTGAAGCCATGAGATAAAAAGGAAATGAAAAAACTATTTTTTTTTTTGTTTTTTGCCAAACTATTAAGTCTTCTATGTAGAGATCTCCATGAAGAATGTTTGATTCTTTACAGTCCTCATGTAAAGAAGTTCCTGTGGTACCTTAGTGTTTTGATTATAAGGTTTTGATTAGGGTTACTGTTTACAACATCAAAGCAAGTAATATCCATGTTTTTATGAAACTCTTTAATAATTGTGGACACCGATCCAGCTGTACAAAATGAATTGTCGTCTCTTCTGTTCTTCAATCCTTTCTCTCTTTTTATTTTCTTTCTCCTATCAAAATCTCCATTCTTCATCTTCTCTTTTATTTGGGAAGAATGTTCTTTTATAAAGTGGCAGAGGCCCTTGGTCAGCTTTAAACTGTTGTAACTTCCTTTGCAACCTGCATCTTCTCTGTCGCTCACGATTTTTTTCCTTCGCAATTTCTACAGCAGCAGCAGTCATCTTTCTTCTATACTCTCTTGCTCTCGCAGCTTCCGAAGCTTTGAACTCAGCAAATTTTACAGGGTCTTCTTTCAAACGGTCCCTCCAGGTCTGACTGCGTCTTGCACTGCTGGCTTTCCGCTTGTCAGATTTTGACACTCCATCCTGACAGACAGATGATTGACTTTTCCTACTTTTACGCTCAGAGTTACAGAGCCGGATTCTCAAAGACATTCTGAAATGAAAAATGTTACACCGTTTAGTTGACTTATTCAAACATTTACGGTGGAGGGAGGTTTTTTTTTTTAGGAGAATTTTTTTTTCTTTTTTTTTCTTCTGAGACCGATGACGTAGTCAAAATATCCAGTAGCTTAGGTTTTGCCAAAAAAATTAAATAAAATGAGTGTACTCACTGGACTAATGCTTCTTGTAAATGGTAATATGCACATATTGTGCAGAGTGCTTTTTGACAGAAACAGATGCTGTGACATTTAAATGAAGTGAAAATGGACTGTTCGATTAAATATTTATTTCTTAGCCAGCAAGATTTCTGTAAAGGTGATTAATGACATAGTGTTTTGTTGATGTTTGCATATAATTATACTTTTTTTTTTTTACACCTGGAGCTATGTGCATCTTTTGACTAGAACAGAAATCCACACTTTGAAAATATAATGTGAATATATGAAACAATTTTCTCAAAATATATTTTATTATTAAAAACAAATGTCCAACTTATCCCTCCCTCCAATTCTGGCATATAGCCCCATAGGTTCCAGACCCCTGTGATACAGAATAGAGCACACACCTGGAAGCTCAACCACCAATATCTTGTAATTTCTTGTTCTTTTACTATGCATTTTTTTTTTCATTTGATTGGGTGAACCAGTCACCAGTCTGAGTGCACAAGTGCCACCCTTGCTTTTGTGTAGACTTGCACTGATTTGAACTTTACTGTTTATGAAAAGGGAACTCACAAGCAAGTGGCATACAGTCAGTTAGCACATACCCAACAGCACTCTTTTTTTTTTTTTTTTTTTTTTTAAGAACTTACCAACCTTAATCTAACTGGCTTTTTTTTAAGTTTAAAAGAGACATTGGTTTGGTTGGTTTTAAAGCTTGTAAGCTTTAAAAGCTTTTAAAGTCTTAAAAATTTAAATAAAATAAAAAAACTCCTTTTTTAAAAAAACCTGTGGCATTTTTTGACACAAACCAATTAATTTCTGACCTTGTTATGGGACTACGTTCGATTAAGAGCTATTAAATGTAATTTTTACATTTGTAATTTTGCATATTTACACTTATTACTACAGTACATGTAACAAGGGAATAAAAATGTAAAAATAAACTGTTACCAGAAGCATACACCTTACTGTCCCCAAACTTTTAAATGGCAATGTATTTAATAAATAAATAAAACAACAAAAAATGCTCACCATTCACTTATTTCTTTCTTCTGGTGAGCATAAAACCGAGATAATTTGAAAAATATTGTACAACGAAAGAACAAAATAGGTTTAAAGCCACATATGGGAGAATAAATGATAACGAAATTTTCATTTTTGTGTAAACTATTCCTTTTAGTACACTGTACATTACTAAATACAGTGCATACACGTTCAATGGTAATCAAGCACCTATCCACCTAACCTTTCCTCATGCAATCTGCATAATACCTCTCTCTCTCCTTTTTCCTGTATGCCTCATGTAGATCAGGATTTCCGTATACTTTCTGCTTGTGCTTTTGGGACCTAGCTTTTGATGCAGCCTTCTTTCGCTCTTCATCTGCCAATCTAAACAACAAGAAAAATTTGACCTTAAAAAAGGAACTGTCACTGGCATTTGCCTTTTCAGTCCCACCAGCCAAGTCAAAACAACTCTGTTTTAATAGGAGATTAGACATCTGCAGAATATTTTGTTTAAAATGTCAAGCTTTTCTGTTAGAGGCCTGTCACACACGCGGCTTAGGAAAGGAAGACCGGCTAAATGACTTCCTCAGACAGACCGGTGAATGAGTGAGATTTAGTTTTTCCATCCAGGTTTTGCTGTATATGTTTTGTAGGAAAAGGTCAAAAAAAAAAAAGCTTGTTTATACTGTAAGATCATACTGGACAACAATCTGTGTTGCAGTGGAAAGAGCTGCCTGGCAGATCCAACTATGACTTGCTTCGTTGGTAAAATCCTAAGCTATGAATGTCCAACTAAACCATGAAATCAGGCACAACGAATATTATGGGAAATAAAGCAGAGCCATTAACATTGCACGAATTGGAGTTACTGGGGATATAAATGTCCACCTGCAAAGACAATGCTATTTGCACCTGAAACTACCTGAAAATCTGCTATTCAACTGGCTAGTGGGTTGATTAGGCCCAACATTTTTAGAAGTATGACTGTAAGATGGAGTGTGTAGCCGGGTGCATATTTAATAATAATAATAATAATAGTAATATTTATAGTTAATATTAATTAATGATAATATAATTTACTACTTTAAATGTACACTACCATTGTAACCCATTTCAAGATTAATAATATTTATAAAAAAAAAAATTAAAACAATTTTTATTCAGGATGTATTAAATGCTGGATTTTTTTCTATAACAAGAATCAAAACTGTTGTCAGCATTAACATTAAGAAAAGGCATAATTTATAGGATTGTGTGACATTGAAGTACTGACAGCACAGCAGAAAATTGTAGCTTTTCAAAAAAAAAAAAAAAAAAGAATAAATAACATTTTAAGTATAGTAATACTTAAAAAATGTCAAATAATAAGATATTTTTTCAAAATGCATAAAAATATCCTACCATGCCAAATGTTTGAGTATTAATGAACCATAATAACATTTTGGTAAAAGTAGTAATATCACTTAAGATTTAATACATTTTTAATCGAAACCCTAACATTTATATAACAGGTTAAAGCAATGTAAGTATTAAGAAATGTGTGCAACAGTAAATAAATTCACCAATTGAAATTAGTAGCTACTAACATTAATCAGTAGTACAGCAACAGTAAACATGATCTGGTCCACCTGAATTGTATGTGAGAATCACCCAGCATGAGCACAAATGAAAGCATCAAAAGCTATTTAAGAAGGAATACAAACTTAGCTTAGACCTCACAGTGACTTTTTGCCATTTTAAATTATGCATTTTAATTTGCACTCACATGCACGCACGCTCACATGCATGCACGCATGCACGCACGCATGCACGCAATTATCAAATCAGTAAAGATGAGTAGAGAAGAAACCAGGGCCTAAAGTTAATGCTTATTCAAGTTGCAAAATTATCTGTCTTAAATGTCTTAAAGAGTGTAAACATGCTTTAGTGTAAATTTATACACATTTATTGTACATGTATTTCTCATGTTAGCACAGAAGTGGTTATTTTGAATAACATAGAAACTGGTAACCTTTGACTTCCATAGACAGTGTTGCCAAGTCTGCAGGGCTTATTTTGATCTGCGTCTGTGGGTTGTTTTTTTTTATTCTGCAGGTGGTTAAAATTTTGACATATTGCATATATTATATTTACCAAAATTGTGGAGTTGAAATACTTTATTGAAACTAATGATTAAAAACAAAAGATACTAGAATTATTAAGTCAAGGGCCATGAAAGACTATGAGTGTATGTGCGTGTATGTGTGTGGCCTTGCAGCCGTGGCCGTTTCATTGTCGTAGTAACAGTTGAAAGGACTCTCTGGGATTTTTAATAAATAGTAACTAAAACAGTATATTTAATTTAATATTTAGAAATACTAATAAATGTGATAGTAAAAATAAAATGCATTTAATTAATTCAGTGATGTAAAATACATTCAATCAATTAGAAAAACATCTCCACAACCAGCTGAAGGATTTGGTTCATCAGCAGTCAATCTAAAGGTAAGATGATTTTATTTATATATATAAAAAACATTGTTAATTACCAATATACAGTAATTAAAAAGGAAAAACTGTATGATGCATTCAGTGATGTCAACTGTTTTTTTAATATTGGAATGGCATATTTTGTTTAGTGATAAGGCTTATTTTGGGCTTCTTTTGTTGTGAAAACCTGGCAACCCTCTCTGTTTTTGCTTTGTTTTCTCACTTTCTTCAGTGGCTGCCTATTTCCAGCATTCTTCTGCATTTAATTGAACAGTTTGGAAAGAGAACCAATAAAAAAAATACATGTCATGATCTATTTAAAAAACACAGCTGGTAAATATTATTAAATTCAGTTTTTAGTCTTAGGCCCTGGATGACACACCACAGAATCAATTCACATACCTCTCTCTTATCTGGGCCAGGTCCATTCTATCTGGTGTCGAAATCTCTTGATTTCTGTGTGGCATCTGTAAAACAACAACATCCATCAGCACACGTTTACATAAACAGATATTACAATTCAACAAAAAAATCTAATAATTAACACACAGACTTACATTAAATGCTTTATTAATAATACACAGACAGACTTACATTAAATGTTTGCATCTTATGTCTGGGGGAGCCAATATGGCTAACTTTGATTTTGTTGGTGTCATATGAATCATCACTGGTCCTTGAATCATTCAAGTCTTCTCTTGCAATTTGCTGATATGCTTGGCATGTTGTACCCATTTCAGTATTAATCTCTGGTTCATTCTTAATATGAGCTGCTTGGTTAATAAATGTGAAATTATGATTCTCGCCGTCATCCATTATTTGTGTTTCAGTGTCTTTGCTGTGCGTCTTATTATGGTAAATGTCCACACATGGTGAAAAAGAAGATCCCGATTCATTGCAAACAGGCATTTGAACTTCATTCTCTTCATGTTGTGTATAAACTTCTAGCTTCATATGCATCTCTGAATCCTTCAAGTCATGTTCAGAATCAGATCTCCATTCCTCTGAGAAAGCCTGGATGCATTTCGGTCCTGGAGTCTCCGAGAAGGAAGGCTGTGTTTCTGTAATGCATAAACATAACAAATAAGATATTGTAATTCTTAAAGCTCCTAAAAATTAGGTAAAGTTTGTTTTAAATCTGCACATTTGTTCATTTTCATATTCCGTTGCATGCAAGTGTGACTTAAAACATTAGCACTATTTACTTGACTGAGAACAATGTTGTACTTTGATAGTCATTGGTTGCTAATTTGTTTTCCCTATATAAAATTTGCAAATAATACTTTTCTTAATTTATACAATTAGGGAGAAATGCTGTATGTGCGAATATAAAATCAAGTTTAACTCAATAAGAACATGGTATCTATCTATCTATCTATCTATCTATCTATCTATCTATCTATCTATCTATCTATCTATCTATATATATATACCAACTAACACATACACAATAAAAAAGCAAGGCGTAATTTTACTTGGCATGACCCAAACACTTTAATAAGCTACTCTTAATACTAACGTTACCTAATATTTAATCGATGACGGCTGAATTTAGGATATTGGGTAACTTAAATCATTAAACATTCTATCAAAAATAAAGAGAAACAAATACACAACTATTTAATCAGATTTACTGGGAATCGACTAACCTGAGTCCATTTGAACCCCTGCCTGCAGCAGTCTCCTCTTGAGAAGCTCAATCTCCTGTCTGGAGCGACATATCTCCTCATTATACTCCGAAAATGCATCTTCGACCGCTTTAAATATCTCCTGGGCCGCTAAAGTTAATCTCTCTGTCAGATAAACGCTTAAAACCTGCAATTTAGACATCGCGCTTTGATGAAATGCGAGAAGTATCTAAACACCTCTTATTTCCGCGTCCATAACAGATATTTTTCTCGACTATTGTTTTGATGGGGTTTATCCTCTGCGGAAACTTTAAGGGTCACTGCCACCTGCTGGTCTGGATGTGCGCCGTTGGTGCATTATTTGATATACTGATAGTAAATTAGCAGTGATTAGCAGTCCTGCTTTTTGGATTGAGCATGTGACTAAATGTTGGAATTTTTCTTACTACCTTTTAAGTTTAGTCCTACTCACCCTGTTATTGTGGTTGTTCCAGTACTTAAAAATCAAAGTCCTGTGCACATTCCTAAAATGCTCTTAATAAAGAAAGAAACTTAGCAAAGAATGGTCTCATGTGACAAGTCATATCTTGCAAGCATTCTGGAGTTAAATACCTATAAAGCACAAAAGGTTTTGTGACTAATACACATTATGAAATCAGTAAGAAGTAGGCCTATATGTGTAGTTTTTTTTTACTGAGTTAGAAAATCCAGTTTTTGAAAATCTGTTGCGACAAAACATTAAAATCAAATAATCAAGTAAGGCCTACTGTAGCATACAAGAATTACTGTATATATCCATTAACCGTTTCTCTTAAAGTGTTTGCTTGTTCTAGTCTATTTGGTGTAGACCTCAGGGCGAATACTTGATATTAAGAATTGTGCAAATGTAAATCCCAAAGAAAAAAAAAAAAAAAACAGCAGCAACAGCTGAATCAAAAAGGCTGATTTACTAGATAAATATATCTTATTGCCAGGTACCTGCTAGTCTGGTTTGAAGGTTTAAAGAGAAAAAACAGACTTAGGTTACTGTAGGCCTTGGTTTAATTAATGATCCATCAAGTGGAAAATCAGGAAAATTAGCTTCATAATAGCCTAAGTAACAGTAGAACTAGGACTTAGATTTAATGAGAGGCCAAATTGGGGTTGAGCTTGTTAATCGTCAAGTACTTGAGTTTCTAAACATTCCTGTAGCACTCAAGCAGCAATGCTAGTTCTCATTGTTTTTTTACCCATGTCAAAAAAATAAATAAATAAATAAATAAAAAAATAATAATAAATATATATATATATATATATATATATATATATATATATATATATATATATATATATATATATATATATATATTTATTTATTTTTTTTGCTGCTGCTTTTCTTTTGCCTTCCTCGACATTCACACAGTGCTGTGTCTAGTCCTGGGGCCTTCAGGTGAGGACACCTGAAACATTATCATTAAGTTCTTCAATTTCCTTTTTTATTTATTATTATTATTTTAGATGCATCATGCAAAGGACATTTTATGGCTTCAGAGCCTTCCATTTAATAGTCATCTGCTTCTTCAACCTTCAAAGTCATCTGCTCCAAAAATCTTTACTCACCCATGCTTCACTGGAGACATTTAGTCTTGACTAAGTGACATGCTGCAGTCGTCCCTGGTTACTTCACACACTGTTTTCATTTTAGGGATGATGCAAACCGTGTAGAAGTGGATGGCTGTAGCTTCATAAGGGCAGGAGTGGGGCTTGGATAGATCACGGTTCTTTCTGGAGAATACATTTGGGAGCATTAGAAGAAAAACTGTTTTTCTGTTCTTCTTTTGGAGAATGCACTTGGGACCGCTGGAGGGGAAACAGTTTATCAGGGGCAGAAGAGGAGCACAGAAGCACCTCCATTTTGGTAAATACACCTGAGTGTATCATAAGGAAAACAGTTAACCGGGGGCAGTAATGGAGCTTGGAAGATCCACCAGTCATTTGAAAGAAAGCACTTGACCACGATGGAGAGGAAACTATTTTTAAGGGCAGGACAGGGTCTCTGAGGGACCACTAGTATTTTGGTAATGCACTAAAAGCATCATAGAGAAAACAGTTTATCGGGGGCAAGAGTGGGGCTCGGTATAGACTATCAGTCTGTTGAGAGAATGCACTAGTGAGCATTGGAGGGTTCAATTGAGTGCAAGAAGGAACTGTGAAGGATACGCCAGTGATTTGGAAGGATCCCTTGAACATGGCAGAGATTACATCCTGCTGTACTGGAGATGGAATCATGATGATGGTTTTGTCAGGGGTTGCAGAGCTGTAAAGCGAGCAGCTGGTACAGTGAGGGTGTCCAGAGACACTTGGCAGCTCTGGTATATTTCTCCCTCCATTGACTTTGAGAAGTAGGATCTGACAGGAGTCTGCTGAGCTTTGACCTCCACAAGAAGAGGAGCTGGCCATGCGGCCTTCAGCTTTTCTCCAGTTTCTGTACAGCATACTTACTTTATTTATCCATCAACTTTTCTACACTGTGCACCTCTCTCTTTCATGAAACACACATCCTGTCTGTTTCATGACTGAGTACTCTTTCTCCATAATCGTATAGATTTCTAGCACAATTTAGTTTTCCACTTCCTATAGTTCAGGGGTTCCCAATCTTTTCAGCACACGACCCCCCAAAAAAACAATGCCAGTGACTCCCGAACCCCACATTCCTCGGAGATGGTTATAAATATAGAAATGTTGCAAACACAACAACATGCCTATATAAACATAAGCATATTGACAACACAAAAAAGTGAAACAGTCTAACAACCATAAGCTATAATTTATAGAGTCATTTTTAAAATTTGTTTAATTTAATATTTACCTGGTGACGCAGTGGCGCAATAGGTAGTGCCTTCACCTCACAGCAAGAAGGTTGCTGGTTTGAGCCTCAGTTGGGTCAGTTGGCATTTCTGTGTGGAGTTTGCATGTTCTTCCTGCGTTCGCATGGGTTTCCTGCGGGTGCTCTGGTTTTTCCCCCAGCCCGAAGACATGCAATACAGGTGAATTGGGTAGGCTTATTCTGTAGTGTATGAGTGTAAATGAGTTTGTATGGAAGTTTCCCAGAGATGGGTTGCAGCTGAAAGGGCATCTGCTGCGTAAAACATACAGTAAGCTGGGTAGGTTGGTGGTTCATTCCGCGGTTCGTTCATTAATTTTGTAAACCGCCAATCAGAGACAATCCTCAATATTCAGTTGTGACCTGTGTTTATTGTTAATGTATTTGATTGCCATAAAGGTGTCAAAAAAGTTTAACCTGGTGCTATAAAATCAATCTGCTGCAGCTGACGCTATTGCTGTGTCTTCATTGAGGCCATCTTCCAGCCTAAACCACGGCGAATGAAGTTCTGCACAAGACTTTTGGCCAGCGGAGAAATTAAAATGGTCGTGCCCAACTGAGTCTGGTTCTCTCAAGGTTTTTTTTCTTCACTCCCATCAGGTGAAGTTTTTTTTCCCTCTCCGCTGTCGCCACTGCCTCGCATGGTTCAGGATTGGTAGAGCTACGCATCGATGAATTTGCTCTTCAGTGTTTGAACTCTCAGTAATGATTAAATCACACTGAACAGGGCTAAACTGAACTGAACTGAACTTAAACACTAAAACCTGAACCACACTGTTCCAGTTACTATGACCATTTATGTGAAGCTGCTTTGACACAATCTACATTGTAAAAGCGCTATACAAATAAAGCTGAATTGAATTGAATTGAATTGAACTGTGTTGTCAATCTAATGTAAACACACCAATTCTATGAAAAAAAGTAAAAGGCTGATGACTATTTATTTGCATGTTGTTGCTTTTTTGAAACGTTTACCTCCTATTTTATCTTCTGTGGGTTATGGATAAAAATATGATAAATCTAATAGTTTAATACATTTATTTGACTTTTGGAATTCACCAAGTGGCCCCATCATTGTCCTGCGACCCCCACTTGTTGAGGGCTACTTATTAGTGATTATTAAATTGCAGTGACGTACAGTAAATAATCTGACAAAGCTCACATTTTATTAGTTGGTTTATAATATATGCTGCACAACACTTAAGCTCCACTTTTGAGTGCTGTGAGTGTGGGTCACTTATAGCATGCCTAAACTCATGTCACTGATTTAACCTGATGTGTAATGAAATAACAATCTTTGATTCAGGAGTTCAACATTTGTGGAACAAATATATCCCTTATAAAATCTGTCCTCTCATCAAACCAATTTACACCATTTTAACCCACAAATCAACATGCATGCTTTTCTCTTCTTCTAGCAAAGATGACTTTCTGTTTCCCTGGGAACATGAAAGCAATAGGGTTTCTAATAATACATGTATTGTATGTGTTATGAAAATATGCTTTGATAGTGACAGAGTGCATTAGCACTATTTAAAAACTATGTTTCCCCATTTATTATTTATTTATTTCAATAACAAATAAATATTTGTTGAAGCTTTAAAAGCCAAGAAATTGAATAAGCTAGATATTAGGTGAATCACAACATTGCAATGTTTGATTCAAAACAAAACAAAATAAGAAATATTAGAATTACAGCAATTACAAAGGTACAATACTTTGTACTTAACAGCTTTCATTAATTAATTAATTAATTAATTAATTCATTCATTCATTCATTCATTCATTCATTCATTTTCCTTCAGCTTAGTCTCTTGTTTTTATAATGGGTGACTACAGAAGAATGAACCGGCAACTATTCCAGCATATGCAGAGGACGCCCATCCAGCCGCAACTCAGTAATGGGAAACTCTTGCACTTATACACTATGGTCATGTTTGTTTATCCAATTCACCTATACTGCATGGCTTTGGACTATGGGGTAAACCAGAGCACTCGAAGGAAACCCACAAATGCCAACTGGCCCAGCTGGGACTTGAACCAGCAACTTTCTTGCTCTAAGGCAACATTGGTAACCACTGAGCCTTTGTGGAAAGACATTAATCCCATGAAGAATACACATTTTAAAAAGAATGTAATGTTTAATTTCGTTACTATTTAACAAATTTCAGGTTTACAGAAAAATAAAAAAATATTTTTTAGTACACTGCATCATGTGTAATGTAGTCAAACATCTGCTGTCTTCAGAACCTAGCTGCTGCATTCTATAAAAAGAGGTTTGATTAATTTATCAGCAGTCTACACCAAAATTTCCACAAAAATATTATAATCTTTATCATCAAATTTGGTGCAAATTTTACAAATGGACTAAAATACAATATTCTCAAATATTAACTTAAATAACAAGGATTTATGCCATGTCAGAGGCCTGAATAATTG